AGAGAGAGAGAGAGAGAGAGAGAGAGAGTTTATTTTACCTCATTAAAAATCACTGTTTTATATTTTTAAAAAATATAAATAGAGCTAAATGTATATGTATGTATACATACATATACATAAAATGCAGTATTATTCAGCTATAAAGAATGAAGTGACATTTGCAAGAAAAGTGAGTGAATCGGAAATTATGTTAAGAGAAATAAGTCAGACTGAAAAAGGCAAATGTCACACGTGGAATGTAGACCTTTAAAATAAAAAAGAATGACGTGAATGGAAAATGTGGGGTGATCTTTAGGTTGGGAAACAGGAGGAAGGGAAGAATGAAAGGTATGAATAGAATAATGAAACCCATTAAAATTGTGTAACCATAGAAGAAAGAGTAATTAGAGAGTGAATTGGGTCAAAGTACATCTAATACATGTATGGAAATATCACAAAGAAACTCCTTTGTATAGTTAATACATACTAATAAAGATAAATATATGGGCAAGGTATTATGGCCCACACCTGTAATCCCAGCAATGGGAAGACATGTAGGAAGAACTTATATTTTGGCAACATGGCAAGTTTAAGGCCAGCCTGAGCTAGATAACAAGACCCTGTCTTAGAAAACAAACATATATATTAACTATTAGCATACACAGCCAGCACCATAGTATTTATACAGCTTGTAAATATACTTATATGAGGCTGCTTTAAAATACCCTTATTATTAAAGTTGAAAAACTATTCCTTTGGGGCTGGGAAGGTGGCTCAGTGGTAGAGCGCTTGCCTTGCATGCTCGAGGCCCTGGGTTCGATTCCTCAGCACCACATAAGAAAAAAGCCGGAAGTGGCGCTGTGGCTCAAGTGTAGAGTGCTAGCCTTGAGCTGAAGAGCTGAGGGACAGCGCCCAGGCCCAGAGTTCAGGCCCCACGACCGGACCCCCCCAAAAAAAGAAAAACTATTCCTTTGTCCTGCCTTGTAATCATAGTGATTTTTACCACCCCCCTTCCCCTCAGCATTGGGGTTTTAACTCAGGTGTAGTGCTCCATCACTGAGCCACTCTCTAGCCATTTTTTTTCTGGTCATTGTTAGGTTTGGGTCTCACATCCTTACCAACCTGTAGTTGTTGACTAACAGACACATGCCTCTGCATCCAGCTGGAATCTTACAGATTTTGTCTTGGCTGTCTTGGGACCGTGATCATCCCAAGCTCAACTTTCCAAGTAGCTTGGAATAACAGGCATGCTCCACTGTGCCCAGCTATGGTTTGAGGAAGGGATGAACTTTTCTGTCCAGGCTGGCCTCAGACCATTATCCTCCCCATCTCAGCCAACTAAGTAGCTAGAAAAGTGGTATTTTTTTTAAAAATGCCAAATTGATAATGTCTCTGTGTGTGTGTAGTTTTCAACAACTTTATTTGCAGAATAGGCAAATCTATTAGAACAGATAGTAGACTACTACTACTAATATACTACTACTACTACTACTACTAGACTAATAATCACCCATGGCTGGAGGAGTTAACAGAAAAATGAGGAGTGCATGACAATAGAAATAGTATATAAATGTATACTCATAAAGGTAGCTAGCAAACTAGCAAAAATGAGTGGTTTGCTTTAAAAGAATAAAATGTAAGACATTGTATGAAGAAAGATATTGTTCCATTACATCTCTCTGCATTTGAAATTTACCACAAGTGTCAGTTACAGCAGAATATTTTTTAAAGAAATAAAATTTGGGCTGGGAAGGTGGCTCAGTGGTAGAGTGCTTGCCTTGCATGCATGAGGCCCTGGGTTCGATTCCTCAGCACCACATAAGAAAAAAGAAAAAAGCCGGAAGTGGCGCTGTGGCTCAAGTAGTAGAGCGCTAGCCTTGAGCTGAAGAGCTGAGGGACAGCGCCCAGGCCCAGAGTTCAGGCCCCACGACCGGACCCCCCCAAAAAAAGAAAAACTATTCCTTTGGGGCTGGGAAGGTGGCTCAGTGGTAGAGCGCTTGCCTTGCATGCATGAGGCCCTGGGTTCGATTCCTCAGCACCACATAAGAAAAAAGAAAAAAGCCGGAAGTGGCGCTGTGGCTCAAGTAGTAGAGCGCTAGCCTTGAGCTGAAGAGCTGAGGGACAGCGCCCAGGCCCAGAGTTCAGGCCCCACAACCGGACCACCCCCACCCAAAAAAAATAAAATCTAGGAGTAAATCTAGTGCTGCTCTGCCTTGAAAGGAATTTGAAAACTAACATCGCTACCATAATAGATTTTCCATCAGAATACTGTTTTATGTCTTACCCAACTTGGATTATTAAAAGCAAATGGATTATAGTGGTCTCTGAAACCATCAGACTTTTGTGTTATGTCTTTTGTGTATGTGTGTGTTAGTACCAGGTCTTAGACTCAGGGCTTTGTACTTTAACTCACCTTTTTTGCTTAAAAAAAAAAAAATCCCTGTCATTCTGCCACTTGTACCTCACCTCTCTATTCTGGTATTTTTGCTGGTTAATTGGAGCTCTCCATTGGACTTTTCTATCCAGGCTGGCCTGGAATTGTGACCTTAAGGTCTCAGGCTGAGACCTCTCTACCCTGAGTAACTAGAATTACAGTCATAAACCACTGGCGCCTGGCTTAATGCTATAAAATTTATAATAACAAGAAAATATTTTGAAAATGTTTGGGTAAAAGCAATCCTTGAGTGACTCTTGATGAACTGGCTGTTCTAGCTTTAGAACAAATAATCATCTCACTTCACTTTCACTTTTTATAGTGATTTTTAAAGCAAAAATAACAAGTTTGAAATTTTTCTGAAGTAGCCTCATATAAATATAATATAAATTATTTACCTTTTTTGGGGGGCCAGTCCTGGGGCTTGAACTCAGGGCCTTGGCACTGTCCCTGAGATGCTTTTATTCAAGGCTAGCACTCTATCACTTGAGCCATAGTGCCATTTCTGGCTTTTTCAGTTTATGAGATACTGAGGAATTGAACCCAGGGCTTCATGCATGCTAGGCAAGCACTCTTACCACTAAGCTACATTCCCAGCCCCCTTATCATGATTATAATGCTAGAACCTCCACTCATTCTTGCTTTCCTTCACAAGGGTGCCTCCTCTGTGCTCCCATGCTACTGTATCTTCATTTTCTGGTTTCTTCTGTGTTTTTGCCTTTCTCCTCCAGTAGACTATATGCTTCATTAAGACCAGTGGTTGAATCTTTGTACTTCATCATCTGTAACTGAACTTGGCAAATAGGAAGTACTTAGTAAATGCTGAACTAAACCTATGCAGAAAATAAATCCTATTACTAGATATCATTAAGTTTTTAAAAATTGAAACAGACTTATTGAAAATGTATCTTAATGTTTAATTTTGTTAAAACCATCTTATTCAATAGTAAATTTTTATTAGTTACTTACTAAGTTTGTTCTAAGCATTAAAAATGGTTGTTGTAGAAACAGTAGCTCTCCTTTTATAGTCATTTCTGATAACTAAATGTAGTACCATTAACAGGTGTGGGACCACCACTGGCCTCTCTTCGTAAGCATACCACTTAGCTGTTTGGATCACTAGTGTCAGGGAGTGCTAAAGTATAGCCAACCAGCTATACACATGAAAGCTTATCCAGAGCATCAAGTAATATATTTGTCTAAGTGATTTTACTTAGGGGGCAGAACTTAAGAATACTTACAATGTGGGCTGGGGATGTGCTTAAATAATAGACACCAGCCTAGCAAGTGCAAGGTGCTGAGTTCAAGCTCCAGTCCTGCCCAAAAAGAAAATGAAAACTTATAATGTGCTTGTTTCCTTCTATACTAAAGTCTGAATTACAGAACTTACCTATCATCAGCTGTATCATTTATTTTAATTTTAATTTTTTTATTGTGAAAATACTGTACAGAGGGGTTACAATTACATGGGCAAGATAATGAGTACATTTCTTATCAAGCATTGTAGCCTCCTCCTTTGTTTCCCCTTCCCATCCCTTCCCATCCTCCCCCCACCCCTCCACCCAATCTCAGCTGTATCATTCTACAAGATTTTATAAACTTTGTTTCCCTAAAACTTAGCTTTCACATACCTTATTGTCTTCTAAAATCACTCTTTCATCTCTAAAGAATTTATTATTTTTTTGTGTGTGGGGGGGTCTGGTCATGGGCCTGAACTCTAGGCCTGGGCGCTGTCCCTCAGCTCTTCAGCTCAAGACTAGTGCTCTACCACTTGAGCCACAGCACCACTTCTGGCTTTTTTTTCTGCTTATGTGGTGCTGAGGAATCGAACCCAGGGCCTCAAGCATGCAAGGCAAGCACTCTACCACTGAGCCACCTTCCCAGCCCAAGAATTTATTTTTTAAAATTTTATTGTCAAGGTGATGTGCAGAGGGGCTCTAAAGAAATAATGCTAATTGTTTTTTATTTGTTTGCTTTAATTTCAGTGGTAGGAATGGGATCCTGGTGCTTCCACATGACTCTGAAATATGAAATGCAGGTTAGTAATCACACTATTCTTATTAATATTGTCATATTATTTGAGAAATTAAAACATAACTCAAGGGTGGTTAAAGTGATGGGAGTGGGATTTGTAATCTCTGGAAGCAAGCAGATAAATTATCATCCATAAAAGAGTGAAAGTAGTATAGCTTTTTAACAGCTCTGTTTAGTCATACACAATTAAAGAGTGGAGTCACATGAAAACATCTTAAAAAGACATAAACAGTTCACCAAAACAGTATCTCAATGCATGCATCTTTCATGTCTTTGTGACGTCTATTTCAGTAGTTCATTCATTCTAACTGGTAAAGATTTATAAGTATTCAAAAATGTTTAGTTCACTTTCTTTGCTCTAGAGAAGCCATATGCCCAGTCTTCAATCTTTGGACCTCTTAGTTGACCATTACTAATTTCTAGAATAGTACTTTCTAGCAGAAATAAAATCTGAGCTTTGTGTATAATTTAAGGTTTTCTTGGAGCCCTGTTGAAGAAACATAATTACCTATTAATATTACATTTTATTTAACATAGTATAACTAAAGAATTACTTCAACATATAATCAATAAAAATTTATTACCAAAGTGTTTTATACCTGATATATGGAGTGTGTTTGACAATCACAGTATATTTCAATTTGGAGTGGGCTTTTTTTCCAGTGTCAACTAGCTACATTGCAATGGCTAATGGCTACTATGATTAGATAATGATATTATTTAGGATCTGCATACACAATGATCTGAATTATTTGTTTATTTTTTGGTCAGTTGTGGGGCCTGAACTCTGGGCCTGGGCACTGTCCTTCAGCTCTTCAGCTCAAGGCTAATGCTCTACCACTTGAGCCACAGCACCACTTCCAGCTTTTTCTGCTTATGTAGTGTTGAGGAATCAAATCCAGGGCCTCACACATGCAAGGCAAGCACTCTACCACTTAGCTGCCTTCCCAGCCCTGAATTATTTATTTTAAAGCTATCCTTTAAATATATTCTTAGAGTTGATTCTAATACTCAACACATTTTAAGGTGTTAGGAATGTTGTGCTTGACTTGGAGAAGACCCAAATGGATGGAAAACTAAACACAGAGCCCAGAGCTGGTGGCTTTCACCTATAATCCTAGCTACTCAAGAGTCTGAGATTTAAACATCATGGTTTGGAGCCATCCTGGGCAGACAGATCCTGAAGACTCTTACCTTAAATTAACCAGCAAAAAGCTGGGAGTGGAGGCCTGGGTCAAGTAATAGAGTACTATCCCTGAATGGAAAGCTAAATAAGCAAAGAGTATGAATCCCTGAATTTAAGCCCTAGTATCATCACAAACACAGAACAGAATGTACTTACTCTCACTTTATTTGCTCTTAAAAAACAGATTTATAAGAAATAATAGAAATAGATCAGTGGTACTCACTAAAACACTATGTTAAAAATGAAGTAGACAAGGGAAGGGGTGGCATGGTCCAAAAAGAAATGTACTCATTACTTGATATTTATAACTATATCCCCGCTGTATATCACCTTTATAATAATTTTTCAAGTAATGGACATATTTTATGGAAATATGAACAATATGGAGCTAGGAAGAATCTGTAAAGGTTTAAAACATCAGACAGAGTCTGAAGAGATAGGGGCTTGGAATGTGGCTTAGTGTTAGAGTGTTTGCCTAATAAGCATTGAAGCCCTGGATTCAATTCCTTTGTATCACATAAACAAAAAAATAAAATTAACTTTTAAAAAAGGAATCTGAAAGGGTAACTTTTTTACATAGTGAAAGAATGAAATGACATACTAGATTTGACTCCTTAAGCCAAGTAAGGAGTCATTGCAATGTCTGGTATATGTGACAATAGCTATAAGTTAAAACATGAAGTTTTAGAAGTGCACCCAGAGATATTTAAAATACTTAACTGTATAGAAAGGGTCCCAGCTATCAGAGCACCCGTACTAGTGAGCTGGATATGTGACACCATTCAATATGAACAATAGAAGAAATTGAACCAGGCCATACTGTATTTCCAGTCAGCCATAATGACAAGTTCCACAAGGATGTGCTAGAGGTTGGTGGGTTAGCAAATCATGTCTATTTCTAAGGTAGATCATTAACAGAATCAGAAAACTTTACATCATAACACTAGAATGTCTTAACCTTACTGAAAGACTAGGATTAGGTACTAAAATGTTCAATCCTGTCTTAAACATCTGTGAAAAAGATGCCACTTTTGGTGTCTATCCTCTAGTTCAGCTCAGCAGTGAGTCAACTGGCTTCTACAAGATTGGCCGTGTGGTTATTGAGACAGAATTATGATAAAAGAGCTTGCAGATGTTCATGTGCTCCAGAAAAACGTAAAGTTCCTTGTGATCAGAATATAGATATTCAAAAGACTGATAAATGACCAAATTACCAATGAACTTTCTTGAGCTTGTTTTGACCAAATCAGAATATAGATATTCAAAAGACTGATAAATGACCAAATTACCAATGAACTTTCTTGAGCTTGTTTTGACCAAAGAGAGGCCCATTGATTTCTCTCCCTTTGTTTTCGTTTTTTCTTCCTTTTCCTTCCTCTAAAAGTTTTAATACTTTCAAGGACTTAAAAAATTATCATGTTTAAGCTCTCTTCTTTTTGCAAAGTGTTTGGATTGAAGGAAGAAGTTAGATTTGTTTAGTTTCACAAGTGAACTCCCAAAATTTAGGGAGCCAGATGATTTCAACTGATTTTCAAACTATTTTCAGCTGATTTTATTTTGTCCCGCTTTCATACTGTAGGGCAAAGCCTACAAATATTGCTTATTTTGAAAGTATAAAACAGCAGTATCTAGTTTTATAATTAATTATCAGGTTTTGGTGTTTGTGACCGTTTGAGTTTTTAAAGACTTATTTGTGGGATGCTAATCTCTAGACACTGCCTTCACTCCACCTAAGCACTCCATCTAAGCACTGTCTCAGTTGAACCATTATTATTAGCCTTGTAGGAAATACTGTTTATTTATGTTTTTAAAGTGATGTTTATTTCTCTCTCTCCTTGCTGATGTGTGAGACAGTTTAGGTATGTTTTATTTTGTTCCGTTTTACTTTGATCTAAGTATTTGAGTTAAATGTTCTTTTTTCTGAGTGGGCTGGCCTACTAATGTAGGTTTGTTTTTCCTACTATTGATTGCTATTAAATGCGTTTACATCTAGAATGTTGGCTGGTGAGATTAATTTTTCAATATCCCAGCTACAGATATGCCCTTAACTAGCCTAAAGAATTTTGTTGTAATTTAATTATTCTTGCCTGTCCTTTAATTAAGCCCTATGATAGTCTAGCTTTAAAAATGAGGTTGAGTCCCTTCCTCAGGGTATAACCCCTGTTTTCACTGTATTTGATGTTGGTATAATTTGTGGAGGGGAAGGGAAAAAAAACCAATTGTTTAAAAAGGGATATAGGTGGACTCCTTGCAACAATGAGATGTACAAGATGTTATGTCGAAAAACGAACTTTACAACTTTGGTGTGTGGGGGCGGGATGGGGGGGAAATGGGAGGGCAGGGATGGTAAGGGGAAACAAAGGAGGAGGCAACAATGCTTGATAAGAAATGTACTCATTACCTTGCTCATGTAATTGTAACCCCCCTGTAAGGTATTTTCACAATAAAAAAAAATGAAGTTGATGTCCTTTAGGTCAGTAGTCCTAAAGAAACAGGAAACAGGGAAGTAGCGCTGTGGCTCAAAGTGATAGTCTTGAGCAGAAAAACTCAGGGATAACACCTAGGCTCTGAGTTCAAGTCCAGTGACTGACACAAAAGAAAAAATACAAAACAAAAACATGAAATGGATGGTTTTTTCCCTTGGATATATTTTTAAATACCTAAAAGGAGCTTGATAAGATTTGAGATTTATAGCACAATAAATGTACTTAATGTCACTAATGTGAGCTGTTAAAAGTATTGTCACTGAGTGTTTGATTATATAGGAAAAACAGTGTTTTGAGGAATGACATAGCTATGTCATTGCTTATCTTTTGGCAAAAATTCAAGAACAATCTGTGTCTACAATATTGAGTTTAAGATTTGAAAAAACAAGAATTGTTAAATTGCTTCTATTCTTGTAAATGTAGAAGTATGAAGTGTTAATAATGCAGATATCACCATTTCTCCTCTACTGACAGGTCTGGTTTATGTCAGCTCATTTTCTAGCAGGTAGGGAATGACTTTGACAGGTTGATGGTTTTTCAAGATAACAGAAATACTCATGTCTTCCACCCACTAGACCACCTCTAATATTTAAATGTTAGTGATATTCTAAGAAATGTTCGTATTAGACTTGAATGTTATATCACTTCATTTTAAAAGGAAGTTTGGTTCAAGACATGTATTGTTTTGTTTTTGTGCTGGTCCTGGGGCTTGGACTCAGGCGCTTTTTTGTTTTTATGCTGGTCCTGGGGCTTGAACTCAGGCACTGGATGCTATCCCTGAATTTTGTTTTGTTTTGTTCAAACTAGTGCACAATGTGTCACTTGAACTTTAGCTCTACTTCAAGCTTTTTGGTTAATTGGAAATAAGAGTCTGTGAAGACTTTCTTGCCTGAACTTGTTTCAAACTGCAATCTTCAGATCCTCCTGAGTAACTAGGATTCAGATATGAGCCACTAGTGCCACTATCCTAGAGACTACTGAAAATATTCCAGCTATCTAGCTCTAATCCTGTTTACCCTAGACTGCCTTGCCTTGCCCCTGAAAATCACTTTCCCTTGTGCCTCGTGACCTCTGACAATACTGGTGCTTTCCTGTGTAGTCTTCTGTAGTATAGCACTATGTATAACCCTGGTTGGGAACTGTAACCATCTTTTCAGTAGCAATTGTCTTTACATCTATTGGCCTCTCACCTGTATAATAACAAAACCCACATTTAAAATTATACTCCACCACCAACATGCTTAAACTTTTTCAAAGGCTTTACCACTCTTCTGCCCTCTTTTTTTTTTTGGTAACACTGGGATTTTGTCAGGTAGATGCTCTACCACTTGAGCCATACCTCCAAAGGCTCTTTTGTTATTTTCATTACTTTTTCATTAGGGTCCCAAATTTATGACCAAGTCAACTTGGATTGTGATCCTCCTGTTTATGTTTCCCACATAGCTAGGATTTTAGGCATGAGCCCCTGCACCTGCACTTATCTTTTATTGGTTGAGAACTTTTTGTTCAGGCATTGAACTTTTTTTTATTGGCTGAGAACTTTTTGCTCAGGCATTGAACTTTAGTTCTCCTGATCTCCATTACTGAGTAGTTAGGAATATAAGCATGAGCCACCATTCTTTTAAGATAAAATTTAAAATGCCTTTTTTGCCTAAAACATTTGCATACTCTGTTTGCTTCTTATCTTCCCTCTTGTTTTATATTCCTTCTATCCCTCAGTAATTAAACTTCAAAGACACTGGGCTCTTTTTCAGTTATTCAACCTCCCTTCCTGTCATAAGATATTTCCATAAGGGCTGGGAAGGTGGCTCAGTGGTAGAGTGCTTGCCTTGCATGCCTGAGGCCCTGGGTTTGATTCCTCAGCACCACATAAGCAAAAAGAAAAAAGCCGGAAGTGGTGTTGTGGCTCAAGTGGTAGAGCACTAGCCTTGAGCTGAAGAGCACAGGGACAGCGCCCAGGCCCAGAGTTCAGGCCCCACGACCGGAAAAAAAAAAAAAAAGGTATTTCCATAAGCTGTTCCTTCTTTAAAGCTTCTCACGTTCCCTCCAGTTTCTTTTTAAATTCCATGCAAATATTTCTCAGGTCTCATTTTCATGTCATTGTATTAATAAAATTTTTCTCAGATCTTTCTTTGCTAGTCCTGGGGCTTGAACTAAGGGCCTGGGCACTGACCCTGAGTTGCTTCTGCTCAAGGCTAGTGCTCTACCACTTGAGCCACAATGCCACTTCTGGAATTTTCTGAGTAGTTTTTTGGAGATAAGAGTCTCACAGATTTTTCCTTCCCAGGATGGCTTCCAACTGTGATCCTCAGATCTCAGCTTCTTGAGTAGGTAGGATTACAGGTGGGAGCCACTGGAGCCCAGCATTAAGATCATTTTTAATGATCACAATACCTTATACTTACCCTTCATAGCATTTTTCATAATTATAATTAAACACTCAATTGTATAATTAACTGTTTAGGGTGTCTTTCTTCTATGCAAGATTGTAAGTCACCATGAGAACCAGAACTGTTCTTGTAGCAAAAGAAGGGGTGACATTGTCCAAAAAGAAATGTCTCATTACCTGACTTACGTAACTGTAACCCCTCTTTTTATCACCTTTATAACAGCAATAAAAAATAAGTGTTTTTGTCTCTGTCACATAGCATGGTTTTAGGGGTGCCTCATACCCGCTTAAAAATTTAGTCAAGGAATAAAAGAATTCAGTTCCTTTCATGGGCTGAATGGATAATCTATGAGATAACTGAAAAAGTGGATCTTTTTATGTCCTACCTTCTCAATGTGTTGCTAGAAGGTCTGCAGAAATGGGCTGTAGAGCCTAGCACCAGTAACTTATGCCTAAACTTTTTCAATAGCTTTAACATACTTCATCCCCTCCCTCTTTTCTGGTAGTACTGAGATTTTGAACTCAGACTCTTAACTCAGAATCCTAACTTACTAAGGCGGCTAAGATCTGAGGATCAGAGTTTGAAACTAGCCTGGGCAGGAAAGCCCTTAAGACTCTTTCCACCAATTAATTAAAAAAAAAAAAAAAGGAACTGGAGGTGTGTCTCACATGGTAGCCATGAGCAAAAAAAGCTCAGGGAGGATGTGGGAATGTGGCTTAGTGGTTGAATGCTTGCCTAGAATGCATGAAGCCCTGGATTCGATTCCTTAGTACCACATAAACATAAAAAGCCTGAAGTGGTGCTGGAGCTTAAGTGATAGGAGCACAGACAGGCTCAGGGACAGCAATCAGGCCACCCCTGAGTTCAAGCCCCAGGACCAGTACACTCTTGCGCACACATGCACGCGTGCTCATGCACATACAGACACACACACACTCACAAATCTATAATACTTCCCTTAGTTTCTAGCCTTCAGTTTAGTACATAAAGGCTATAGTTACTATTATTATTGGGCTGATAATAAATACTTTAGAGACATAGGCTACTTGGGTTAATAAAATTGTTTCTGTGGTCATTAATATTTTTTAATTTGTGTTAGTGAATGTTTTATCTATTTAAGGTATATAGGAAGGAAGGAAATGCAAAAGAATACTGGTAGTAGACACTATTCTTTCCTAGAAGTATAATATAGTTTGTGATAGCAAATGATATGAGCAGTGTGATTACAAAGTCTCCCTGTGGGAATAGTGAGTCAGGTCTGCTACTTAGGATATACATTAGAACAGATAGATAAACCTGTTTATTTAAAAACAACACATTATACATACATACTCAGTAAGTTAGATGATAATAAATATATAAAAGAAATGATAGGCCATGCAAGGAGGTAGTGTGTTTCAAGCCAGCCCTGACAAAAAGTTAACAAAACCTCATTCAACAAACAAGCTAGGTATGCTGGCTCATGCCTCCAATTTCAGTATGTGGGAGATGTAGGTAAGAGTACAGAATCACAGGCAAAAACGTCATGAGACCCTATCTAAAAATTAACTAAAGCTGAGAAGGGCTTGAGGGTGTCACTGAAATGGTAGAGTACCCACTGAGCAAGCAGGAGGTGTTTAGTGCAAACCTGAGTAACTACTGCCAAAAAACTGGTAAAAAGAACTTTAGTGATTCTATAAAACTAGTAAAAGAAATTAAATGATAATGGACCATTTTTGTTTTCTTTTTTGAGCTGGTAACTGAATGTAATGCCTACTGAACATATACTGTACCACTGAGCTATACCCCCACCCCAAGAGATGACAGTCTTAGTCATTCTAGTGTTTTAGTATGCTAATGTGATATTTTGATTTATATCGTTGGAACATTATCATATTGAAACTTGGTGTTATTCTTTGTTTCATATATAGCTGTTGGATGAACTCCCAATGATTTACAGCTGCTGTATATTCGTGTACTGCATGTAAGTGCTTAAATCTCAAATTTAGTTATTTCATATATTTTTAATTCATATTTGTCTCATAGCTAATTAATATAATTAAACCAGTTATATTACCAGGATACATAGTAGTGTAGAAAATTACAAATTGAAATCAATTAATAGTTTAGTTCCTGGGAAGTTAAAATAATTTGTATTTAAACTTGTAACCTCCAAACCCTAAAGCCAGCTTAATTAGAATCTTAATTTGGCTTAAATTGTGTAATCTGCTTTTCCTTGAGTAAAGAATGTGTTATTATGTCCTCAGGTTTTGAAGTAGTTTCCCTATTGCGTAGACAATTTCTTAACAGAAGTTTACCAATTAAGCTGCATCCCTTGCCCATTTTTTGAGATGGAGTCTAGTGAATTTTTCTACCCAGATTGGCCACATACCATGATCCTCTAGATCCCAGATGTTCACCATCATGGCTTGGCCTTTAGAGATATAATGAACAGAAGGTTTGACTTTTTATGAAATCCAATTTATAACAAAATTTTAGGACTAATTATTTTTGGTGCAAGAAATTAGGGCTAAGAAGATATTACTTTTCCAGAGATTTAATGCCTTTATTTTTTAATATTTATGTTATGTTTCATCTTTAGGCCCATAATCCATTTTGAGTTAATTTTGTATATGACATAAGATTGAGAGTCATGTATTCCCCTTCTGCTATTGTGTTTTTCCACACCATGTTTTGCAAAGGTCATTTTTTTTTCTTGCATTAAATGATTGTTGCGCTGTATTCTGTAGACTGCTCTATAGCTTTCTAGAATGTCAGTACCAATGCTGTCTTGTTATTATAGTTCCTATTGTAAATACTGAAGTCAAACAGAATAAGTCTTCCAATTTATCAGTATAGCTTTGGAAATTTTAAGCTTTTGTATTTTTACATAATTTTAGAGATACCTTGTCGATTTCTACCAAAAAAAAGTATGCTAGAATGTTGAGTGTGATTAGGGGGAAAGGTGTGGCTCAAGTGGTAGGCACTAAGTTCAGGCCTCTATACTACAAAAATATTTTTATTATAATTACAGTGACTTTGTAGACTAAACAGTTGATAACAATAGTAAGTCCTCTAAACCTGAGCTTGGCATAATTCTCCCATTTGTGTAGCTTTTCACTAATTTCTCATTTTTTTTTTTTTTGGTTTTCAATGCATATATACCTTGCTAAATTTAACTATGTTTTTCATTATTTGGGGTGCAATTTTAAATAGCATCAACATTTTTAACATTATATTTTGTTTGCCTCACTTATTTTTTATTTTTATTTTCCTTTTTTTGTGTGTCTGTGTCAGGGTTTGAACTCAAGGCCTGGGCGCTGAACCTGTGCTTTTTTGCTCAAGTCTAGTAATCTATCACTTAAGCTACAGCTCCACTTCCAGCTTTTTGATGGTTAATTGGAGATAAGAGTCTCAAGGACTTTCTGCGTAGGCTGGCTTCCAAGTGGTTCTCCCATCTCAGTCCTCTGAGTAACTAGGATTACAGGCATGAGCCACTGGCCCCTGGCTTGTTTTTTTCTTGTTGAATGTCTTCAGATATCAGCATCTGACTTCAGATTTTTACTCAAGTGAGTTAGTTTCTGGCTCTCTAGGTTTGGACTTTTAGGAGGCAGCCTTACTGTCAGCCTCTTAGAGCCTGTAGGTGGGGCAGGGTTTCTAAGAGAAGCTAGTGGGTAGAAAGAAATGTTAAATAACAGCAGATCAGGGCTGGGAAGGTGGCTCAGTGGTAGAGCGCTTGCCTTACATGCATGAGGCCCTGGGTTCGATTCCTCAGCACCACATAAACAAGAAGAAAAAAGCCGGAAGTGGTGCTGTGGCTCAAGTGGTAGAGCGCTAGCCTTGAGCTGAAGAGCTCAGGGACAGCGCCCAGGCCCAGAGTTCAGGCCCCACGACCGGACCAAAAAAAAAAATAATAACAGCAGATCACAAAGTCTGTGGCAAGTAGTAATGTAGAATTCTGTTAAGTTCCTTCTTATCTGGTCTAAAGAAAGCTTCTCTGTGTTTTTTTTTAAGGTTTGAATGTTTCAAGATGAAGAACTCAGTAAATTACCATCTGCTTTTTACCTTAGTTCTATTCAGTTTAATAGTAACCACAGTAAGTCATATTTTGTTTAACAGATTAAGTGAATTTGCTACTTAAGAAGTTTTGCACATTTTGACTTTAATGTTTAGTTTCAGCAGTTCTAACTGAAATGTTTCTATACAAAACTGGAATCTCACTTTTAGATATTGCTCCTTTGTTTTCTATTCAAGCATTTCTCTCTGTAATTGAAATAACATTTTTTAAAAAGAAGAGATTGAAAAGAAAAAATTAAAAAAGAAAATAAAATATTTATTGGCAGTTAAAATAGTTAATTTTCCTTATGGATGTACATATTACCTCCTATTTGCTAAAAACAAGAGATTGGCTGTGTTCCATTGGCCCTTGTATGACTATTTTATAGGCTAGCTTTTCCTAGTAAATATAGCTCGCCATCTCATCCTACCCTAGTATTTTTTCTCAAATAAATCACGTTTGTATTAAGAAAATATCAATTTCAACAAACACTAGAAACCTCTATCCTAGACACTAGAAACAAAGATAATCCAGAAATAGTTCCTATCCAAGAAGAGTTATTTCTGTTTAGGAAATTAAGCATGTAAGCAAAGAATTACATCTCAAGATAGTAACTCTAATAATAGAAATTAAAGCTAATTACATAGTGAGGAGATAAAGGAAATTCAAGACCACTTGAATCTAGATGACATCCCACCTATGTCTGCCATTTAAACATTAATTTTTAAGCCTGGTACCAGTGGCTCATACCTGAGATCTGATGGTCATGGTTCAAATCCAGCCTAGGCAGGAAAGATTATGAGACTTATCTCCAAACACCAAAAAGCCATAAGAGGACTCAAGAGGTAGAGTACCAGCCATGAGCAAAAAAGCTTAGGGATAGTACCAAGACCATAAGTTCAAGCCCCAGGACCATCACACATATAGAAATTAAAAAAACATAATACTGCTTGAAACCAAGCACTAGTGGCTAACACCTCTAATCTTAAACTACCCAGGAAGCTAAACTTTAGGATCAAAGCCAGCCTGGGTACGAAAGTCTCAAAGACTCTTATCTCTAATAAACCACCAAAAAAGCTAGAAGTGGAACTGTAGCTCCTGTGGTAAAGTGCTGGCCTTTAGCATTGACAGTGCCCAGACTCTCAGTTCAAACCCCAGGACTGGTGTGCATGTGCATGTGCACACGCGCATGCAAGCACACACACACATGCACACACAACACTACTTGAGCCTAGTGGAATGATACAAGCATGTAATCCCAGCCTGTGGGAGGTTAATGGAAGAGAATTGAGAGGCCATATTGGACTCCATAAGGAGACCCTGTCCCCACTCCCACCCCCAAAAAGATTCTGGTTGAGTAGGTCATGGAAAGCTTCAGAGAGTAGTCACTAGAGTTAGATTAGGCATTTGTCAGGTCCCTAGGCAAGAGTGCAATTTGTGTGTGTGTTCATAAGCATTAACCTCAAAACTACAGAGTTAATTACTATAATTACTTAGTGTTTGTCAGATAACTCCCCAAAGTGCTTTGACTCATCACCATCAGTGGAATTGGGGGAGATTTCATCTAGGTAGAGCACATGTTAAGTAGGGAGCAAAGAATAAGCATATGGTGACTTATGCAAATATCAGATTATAAAACACCTTGTATATCTTGTATATGGCTTCAGAGTTCAGTTTTTTTTGCCATGTTGTTGTCTGAACTCAGGCCCTTATACTTGCTAAGTAGGCACTGTACCACTGAGCTACCTCCAAATTCTTTTTTTTTTTTTTTTTTTTGTCATGGGTCTTGAACTCTCGGCCTGGGTGCTGTCCCTCAGGTCTTCATCTCAAGGATAGTACTCTACCGTAACTTGAGCCACAGCACCACTACTGGTTTTCTGGTAATTAATTGGGCTAAGAGTCTCATGGACTTTCCTACCTGGGCTGGCTTTCAACCACAATCCTCAGATCTCAGCCTCCTAAGTAGCTAGGATTACAGGTGTGAGCCACCAACACGTGGCTCCAGAATCTTTTTTAACTGCTTGGTTATTTACTTATTTATTTACTTATTTTTTGTGTTGTTGAACTCAGAGCTTTGTGCTTTTGTTTGTCTTCTTTTGCTCATAGCTGGTACTCTACTACTTAAATTATGCCTCCAGTTCCAGCATTTTTCTAGTTATTCAAAGATAATAGTGTAACATATTTGTCTTCCTGGGCTGGCTTTGAACCGTGATCTTCAGCCTCCTGAGAAGCTAGGATTAAAGATGTGAGCAACTGGCACCTGGCTGAACTGGTTATTTTTGAGACAGGATTTCACTTCCTACTTTAGCACATACTTGGACCACAGTCCTATTTTTCACTTCCCAACAGTTGGTATGACAGACACACACCACCATACTATGTATTACTGAGAAGGGAACTTTCAAACTTTCTACACAGGCTAACCTTGATCTGCAATCCTCCCAATCTCAGCCTTCCAAGTAGCTAGAATTACAGGTGTGAGCCACTGGTGGCCAGCTAAGGGTTTGGAATTTTAGCCTCAAGGTAGTATGGATTCATTAATTGATTTTAAATTGGGGGGCACATAATCAGGTATGTTTTAGAAAGATTACTCTGGTTATCAAGCATGGATTAAATGTGTTGGCTAAAGTTAGGGACTTTTCATATACTTTTGTAAGATGTAAGACTCAAGACTAAATACTACAACTTAGGAGGTGAAAAATATAAGCTGACATACATTAAAATATGTGGGACATGTGACTATGGATAAAGAGGTTAGAGGTAGACAAAAGTAGGAAAAAGTGGTTTCATACTTTATGGCCTGGCGGTTGCCATTCACAGGATGTCTTAACTATGATAGGAATCTTGAAAGATGAGTAGCTTTTGAAGGAAAGGTAAGGAGTGGGCTTATGATGTCATAACAGTAGAAAAATTAGGTTAACTCAGTAGAATATATTAGGTTTGAGGTGCCCAGTATTAATAACAGAAGGCAGGCTGGTCTAAAGATGCAGGTTATGAGCTGGTAGAGAATAGGTCATACTAGAAATGTGGGAATAGAGGGAGTGGCACAGAAATAACATAGACCATTAAAATGACTTAAGACATAACCCTATAGAATGGAGACATTGAAGGACAGGTGCAAGAAATGGAGCCAGCAAATAATACTGAGAGAAAGCAATCTGAGTTACAGAAAAGTGAACAGAACTTGATATCACAGAATACAAAAATTCCAAGAAAAAGAAAGTACAGTATTAATTGCCTCTGAATGGACAAGGATAGGACTGAAGATTGTTAGTTGAATAAAAATTCTATTTATAAAACTAATATTAATGAGCAGTACATTAATAAAGGCAGAAGCTGATTCCAACTAGTTGAGATGTTAAGTAGGAGGTTTAAAGCTCACTATATATATATTATTTTCTTGAGTTTCCATATATAACATTAGAGCCTAAAAGTAAGATTTGTGAGATAAGAGTGTTTCTAGGTAAATAGGTAGCTTAGAAACAGGACACTATAAGAAATTTGTTTTAAATCTCTTTCCTCATTGAGTATCTACTATGTCTAGACACCTGGATGGATTTTAGCTTTTCATTCCTCATTCCTATTACTCAGATAAAGAAAAGTAAATCTTTTGACTTGCTCAAGACTTGCAGCAGTTCATGGCAGAGTTTGAAAATTGTCTCTTGTCTTTAAGTCTAAGTTTTTTCTATTAGAGAATAGCTGTGCTTCAGGGCTGTTAGTATAACTTAGTCACGTTTCATGAGTGTCGGTAAATCCTTGTCCCTCCGTGATTATGTTACAGAGGCCAGAAAACAGGCCAGAGTAGTCTACAACAGATTAGAAATATTTTGTTTATCATGGCAGCTAGCACTTGGATAAAGCCTCTTGTAGTAGGTACTAGCCCTCTGTGCCATCCTACCTAATCTGGTTTGACATAGTTGGGATCAGGTCCAAGAAGGATTGGGGAAACAGAAGAGGTTTAAGCTTTGCAGCATACTTAGAATAGGATTTTGTTCTCCATAATGCACTTCACTAACTATGTCTTTCAACATTTTGCAGGTTTACCTTAAGGTCAAGGAGCCTATTTTCCACCAGGTAATTTTATTTAATTATCACATATTTGATTGTTTAACAGTACATGCCTGCTTTTGTGTTTTCCTAATCTAGGAAATTATAGGCACGTACAACTTTTGAGTATGAAATGCTAGATGTCCTAAGAATATTCAGTGTTTTAAGGGGATTACAAATTCAAGGATCTACAGAAGCTAGGTATAAATATAAATAATGTTACATATATTGGATATTATATATTATATAATATATATTATTATATAATATATACTGTTATCTACTATTATATATATGTATCTACACCTGGATGGATTTTAGCAAATATCCAATTATATATTATATACTTATCATTATATATTATACACATAATTGTATTTTATATATCATATAGTATATTATACATATATGATATATAATATATATTATATATATATGCCAGGGGAGTATACTTTGGACACCAGTGCCAAGGTCCAGTATGTTGGGATTCATCACACCCTGTACAACATTGCTCTTTATAAGCAGAAAGAGCTAGGCAGCACTACACACACACATAAAACATGCACATACAAAGTCTTTTTATCGTGTTATGATCTATAAAAGACAGACTGCAGATTCCTTGAATGTATCTCCCTTAATATATTTTAATAAAAATTTTAAAAAACTTTTTGGGGGGTCCGGTCATGGGGCCTGAACTCTGGGCCTGGGCTCTATCCCTCAGCTCTTCAGCTCAAAGCTAGCACTCTACCACTTGAGCCACAGCGCCACTTCCGGCTTTTTTCTTTTTGCTTATGTGGTGCTGAGGAATCGAATCCAGGGCCTCAGGCATGCAAGGCAAGTGCTCTACCACTGAGCCACCTTCCCAGCCCCTTAATAAAATTTTTGAATTGGGAGATTAGTTACATTGAAAGAAGTAAATTCGGGAGACTTTGTTATAGGAAATGGTGTTTTTAAGTACATTCCAGTATGTGAAACCAGAATGAAATAAAGTTGTAGCCCATAAGCAAAGAGAGAAATTATTTACTAAGTGCTATGCTTCCTATCACAAAGATTTCTAATCTCACCAGCAGACCTACAAATAAATCATTTATTATTGTACACATTTTAAGGGAAAGAACTCAGATATTAAATAATGTATCTGCTTGTCTTGTGACACAACTATGTGTTTGGTACTGGAGGTCTAACTCAGAGCCTCCAGAGTGATGGCCTGTTTAAGTGAGATTTTTAGCTCCACACCACTCCCACCCCTACCCCCCACCCCCCGCGCCACACACACACTTAAAGTCATGTAAAAGACAAGAACTGTTCTGGAATAAAGAGGACTTGAGACATAATAACTGAATATGATTCATGACCCTACGTTTTCATTACCTATAATGAATATTATCAGGAGAACAGAAAAATTTGAATAAAGTCATTTAGTATCCTATCAGTGTTAACTTCCAGATTATGTTGTCTATTCTATGGTTATAAAATAGAGTGTTCTTATATTTTAGGAAGTGAAATTGGCACTATTTAAGCAGAGAGATAGTGCACACTTGAGTAGCACATGTGTGATAAAATGCTAACATTTAATGAATCTGAATTTAAGTTATAATACTTAAGGTATTTTTCACTCTGTAGACTGAAAATAGCAGGGAAGGGAAAAGAAAGATTTATTGTATGACAAGGACATTCCACAGGAAGTGACAAAGGAAATATTTCAGCCCATCTTCCCAGGAATAGAGAAGAGCTTTAGATTTAAATAGAGAAAAATTCAGTTTCCCTGGGGCAAGAAGTATAACTTATTATTAAGCAATCCTAGTCACAGTCCTATTGTTCCTAGAATCCAAGGTAGCTAGATGCAAAGACAGAGCAAAGACATGTAAAATGCCAACTTTTATATGGTGCTTCCACTTAATTTATGGTAAGGAGTCAGTGCTTTTTAGCCTAAACAATTCCTAAGTATCTATTACGCTAATTTTTTCCTTAGAGGTTAACACAACTATTATGTAATTGCACATTTTAAAAATTATGTTTTTAAAAATACAATGAAAGATAACCATTGTTTATGTTTAATTGACTTTTGACGGCAAAAAGTGCTTTCTTTGCCAAAGAAATGATTGCGCTGACTTCATTTCCTTTTCCTATCTAGGTCATGTATGGAATGTTGGTCTTTACTTTAGTACTTCGATCTATTTATATTGTTACATGGTAAGTAGTTTGGATCAGCAATACTATGACTAAAGTATACTGAAGTTTATAACAAATCTATGAGAGAAATTGAGTAAAACATAATTAACAACATCTCTATGTCCAGAAGAGATGTCAATAGAAAATTATAGCCCAACATTTATTATGATATAAGAATTACTATTTCTTCTAGCAAGTTGTTAATGGTCATTTTATGAAAATGAGAATTCCAAAAATCAAAAAATTTGAAGAAAGCTTAAATTTTTATTTTGACATGTTTTTGGATGTGTATAATGTTGGTTAGGACATAAAGACCTTGAAAATTCCTATATTAGCCAGGCACCAGTGGCTCATGCCTGTAATCATAGCTACTAGTAATTTATCACAATAAACTAATCAGAAAAATCCAGAAGTGGCACTGTGGCTCAAGTGGTAGAACACTAGCCTTGAGCACAAAGAGGCTTAGGGACAGCATCTAGGCACTGAGTTCAAGCCCCAGGAATGGCAAAAAAAAAAATCCTATAATAAAGTATTTGCCAGGTACCAGATGGCTGATGCCTATAATCCTGGCTACTCAGGAAGCTGAGAGCTGAGGATCGTGGGTCAAAGCCAGGGCTGGAAAGTCTGTGACACTCTTACCTCTAACTACCAGAAAACCAGAAGGTGGCACTGTGGCTAAAAGTGGTAGAGTACTAGCAAAGGGCAAAAAGGGCTCAGGGACAGCAGCCAGGGCCTGAGTTCAAGCCCTAGGACAAGAAAAGTATATCTTTCTCAAATTTACTAGAAAAGCCTTTTTGATAACACTTCAATAAAAGCTGTTGATGGCACAAGTAAAAATAATGTTTTAATGCAAAGTCATCTGGGAAATAAGCCTAACTATAGTAAGATTTCATGAAGATTTATGAGAATGCCTTAAATAGACGCTGACTATATAGCAAGTACTTCATAAATAATGATTTGTTCCTTTTCTTTTTAAAAATATTTTGCGTTAATTATAGAAATGTATGCATCTGCAAGAAACAATAGAGATTCTCTGCATCTTTTACCAATTTCTTCCAATGGTGATACCTTACACAATCATAGTACAAAATGACAACTAGATTTTGACATTGATATAGTTATAATACAAAACATTTCTGTCACCACAAGGATCCCTTTGTTGCCCATTTATAATCACATCTAGTTCTTTCCTACCCCACCCCACCTCCATCGTCTTTCTTAATCTCTGGCTTCCTTTTTTATAGTTTTGTTGTTTCAAAAGTATATGTTATATAAATGTAAACATATAGCATATAGCCTCTGAGATTGTTTTTTTAATTCATTCTCTGAAGATTAATCCAAGTTGCTGGATGTATCAACAGAGTATTCCTTTCTGTGGCTGTTGAGTAACATCCAGATTATTTCCAGTTTGGGGCTATTGTAAAGCTGGTATAAATATCTGCAAGCAGATTTTTATGTGACTATGTCTTTTCCCATCACTGTAGTAAAGGCTCAGAGTGGAATTAGGTAGTATGGCAATCCTATTTTTAGTTTTTCTCAAAGTGCTGAACTATTTTCCAGTATGTCTCTACCATTATATTCACACCAGCAATGTTTGAATGCTCGTTTCCCGGCATCCTTAGCAGCATTTAATGTTGTCACTATTCTTTTATTTCAGCCATTCTATTGTTTGTACTAATGATATGTACTATCAATTTGCATTTCCCTAATAACTAATGATGTTGAATATATCTTCCTATGTGTATTTGCTATCAGTATGACCTCTTTGGTGAAATACCTGATCATGTCTTTGCCCATGGTTAGCGCAGTTTCTCCTGCTTTTAAAGTGAATTTTGAGATTCTAATTGTTTGTAAAATACATGGTTCGCAAATAATTTTCTCCTGATCTGTATCTTGGCTTTTCCTCTTCATTGCAGGGCCTTTTAATGAGCAAACATCTTTAATTTTGATGAAGTCAACATTAGTTCTCTTTTTATCATACTTTTTCTGTCAAATCTAAGAATTCTATATACTTAGCTATAGATCCCAAAGATTTTCCTCCTATACTTTTTTTCTAAAAGATTATGAATTTTTTTTTGGTTGGTCCTGGGGCTTGAACTCAGGGCCTGGGCACTGTCACTCAGTTCTTCAGCTCAAGGCTAGCGCTCTATCATTTGAGCTACAACATCACTTCTGGTTTTCTAGTGGGTAATTGGAGATAAGAGTCGCACGGACTTTCTTGTCCAGGCTGGCTCTGAACTATGATCCTCAAATCTCAGCCTCCTGAGTAGCTAGGATTATAGGCGTGAGCCACTTGCGCCCAGCAGATTATGGATTTTTATAGTTTACATTTAAGTCCATGATTTATTTTGAAATAATTTTATATAAGGTCTGAGTTGAGGTGCTCTTTTTAATCTATGGATTGTAACTTCTACAAGACTACTGATTGAAACACTGCCCTTTCTTCATTGAATTACTTTGGTACCTTTGTGAAAAAATATTTGGGTATACTTGTATGATCCTATCTCTGTTCTATCTATTCATCCATAGATCAACATACCTGTCCCTCTTCTAATACTACATGGTTTAGATTACTATAGTTATACAAGCCTTCAAATCATATAAGTTGATTCCTCTCCATTCTTTTTCAAAACTGTCTCACTGTTCAGATCCTATACCTACCTATCTACCTATCTTCCTGCCTGCCTGCCTCCCTCCCTCCTTCCCTTCCTCCCTCCCTTCCTTCCTTTCTTCCTTCCTTCTTTCCTTCCTTCTTTCCTTCCCAATACAAGGAATCAAATCCAGAGCCTCATACATGATAGGCAAGCACTCTATTACTGAGCTACATTCCCAGTCTCTTTATAAATTTTAGAATAATATTGTTTATATTGAAAGTCCTATTGGGATTTTGATAACTTACTTACATATGCTTCATACTTTCAAGAAAGTTAACATCCTTACTATGTTGAGTCATCCAACCCACCAAGAAAATATGTCTCTCAATTTATTTAAAAGTTTTTCTTGGGCTGGGAAGGTGCCTCTGTGGTAAAAGTGCTTCCCTTGCATGCATGAGGCCCTGGGTTCAATTCCTCAGTACCACATAAGCAGAAAAAAAACAGAAGTGGCACTTTGACTCAAGTGGTAGAGTGCTAGCCTTGAGCTGAAGAGCTGAGGGACAGTGCCCAGGCCCAGAGTTCATGCCCAACCACCGAAAAAAAAAAAAGAAAAAGTTTTTCTTTCATCAGCATTGTGTACTTTTCATTTTTAAGCAATTATAAGTTGCATTATGTTTGTTTGTTTTATCTTGCTCATTTTTTTTGTGGGGGCCAACAGGAGTCATCAAATCAAGGGCATTGCATATGCTAGTCATTCTACCACCAAGCTTCATCCCAACCCAGTTTTGTATTTTGAAATTATATGAACTATTCATTGCTATTACATAGCAAAGCAATGTATTGTGTTTTATATTTAGTTTCTATTCTGCTACCTTGCTAAAGTCAGTAGTACAAAGAGTATTTTTGAGATTTATTACAGATGGAAAGTTTGATATTTTCCTCTCTAATATGTATGCTTTTAATTATTTTTTTTCCTTTTTGCCTTAACTAGAAAGACCTACCAGGACAACGTTGAATAGGAATTATAAGAGCAGATATCCTTGCTTTGTTCCCAGTTTTAGAGGATAAGCATGCTGTCTGTCACCTTTAAGCACAATGTTAGCTATATGCCTTTTGTAGATGCTCTTTTTATTAAATTGACATTTTTACCTTCTTTTAGTTTGCAAGGGGTACCGTAACAAAATATTACATATTATATAGCTTAAATAAAAGGCATATATTTTCTTTTTTTTTTTTTTTTTTGGTCAGTTGTGGGGCTTGAACTCTGGGCCTGGGCGCTGTCCCTCAGCTCTTCAGCTCAAGGCGAGCACTCTACCACTTGAGCTACAGCGCCACTTCCGGTTTTCTGGTGGTTTATTGGAGATAGGAGTCTCCTGGTCTCTCCTGCCCGGGCTGGCTTTGAACCGCGATCCTCAGATCTCAGCCTCCTGAGTAGCTAGGATTACAGGCGTGAGCCACCAGCGCACGGCTAAAAGGCATATATTTTCTGAAAGCCAAAAATAAAAGATTAAGGTAGACTAACCCTTACCTTTTCCTAGATTGCTGGCTGCATTGTCATTCCTTGACAAATAGGCTATGCTTTTGTTGTCACATGGTCTTCTCCTTGTTTTCCTCTGTCTTCGTTATTATGATACCAGTCTTCTTGGAGTAGGACCCTACCCTATTCATTTCAAATAATATCCACAATAACCCTATCAAAACTAAATCACATCCTGAAGTATAGGATTAGAATTCAACTTTACCATGCCTCATTTAAAATATAATTATCTGAAGTATTTTTGTCACATAAGTTCAGAACAAGATCAGACAGAATTAATTATTTTTGCTTCAATTGTAATATATTTTTAGAAAACTCTAGAGGAGAGGGAAAGTTTATTTTTCCACATTCTTACTGTTACCATTGCTTTTTCTTCCTTTCTGGTATTGTGATATCCTTCTTTCCTTTTTGTTTCTTTAGCCATTCTTTCAAGGTAGATCTGTCAATATATCCTCTTAGATTTTCTTAACTTGAGAATGTCTTGACTTTTTTATCTTATTCCAGTATTCACTGGATATAGGATTCTAGGTTGACAATAGGTTTCTTTCAGAACTTGAAAAGTATGCCACTTCCTCCTGGCTTTCACTTTTATTTTTAATGGGAAATCTGCTATCCTTTGAATTGTCTTTCCTTATAGATAAGATTATATTTCTCAATGCTTTCAAGATCTTTGTGAGTTTCATTGGGTTTTAAATCTTTGTGGTTGGCTCAATTTTTTCAATTGGGTTGTTTATTTTTGGGAGAAAGATTTCAGTCATTCCATCATCAAATGTCAAATTTTTATAGTCTTATTCTTTTTCTCCCATCCTTTTGATACATCAATAACACAAAACTTAGATTTTTTTTTTTATACACCCACACAGGTCCCTGAGTGCCTGTCTCCTCGTTAC